TCAGCAATTTGGTTTTATCTCTCCAGAGAACCCTGTCTAACACATTTTGGTACCAGGAGTGGTTCTAGAGAAATAAAACCATAAATATGGGCTTCTTAAATTGGCTCTCCAGCCTGATTAGTCTTAACACTAATGATGCTACTTCAACATCTCAAAGCATGGATAAGCCTGCTACTCTTCCTAATCCATGGTGTGAAAGAGCAAAAATAATACCTAAAGTAGCACCACTGATAGATGAGGTGCTGAGTAAAGGAGAGGCTCTGAATAATCCTATGTTTGATATTTTCCAGGAGTTTTGTAAGGATGACAAGTATAGGGAAGCTGGTTGGCTGGTCCTTCTTACAATGGACAGTGTGATTAAGGAGAGGGATGATCTCAGAGCCTCAAAAGCGTGCCGTAAGTGCAGACTAATGGATTTAAAAACTTCCATCTGTGCTACAAAGGAGAGCCTTCTCTCCTCTAGTAAAAGAGCTGACATTGCTGAGAATCAGGTCCAGAGTCTCATACGAGTGGCTGAGTTACAACGGCAGCTGAATTGCAGATCTAGAACAGTGTCTGAAACCAAAGTAAGGGCATTGATTGGGAAAAGTTGGGACCCTGAAACATGGGATGGGAACATATGGGCTGATGATCCAGAAGAGGAGGATATTGAGCCCTTACAAAAAATTAACCCACCCCAGTCAATAGATCCACCCCTCTCAGCTGAAAGTATTAATTCACAATCCACACCTGAGCAGATTAGCCAAACTAGGCAAGTTGATATGCCAGGTGGGGCTACATTAGTAGCATTGCCTAAGGGAGATGCCTTACAAAATATTGCTGAGAGCACCCAGGAAACACCCTCACCACCCATTATTTCCGCTAGACCTGTCACTAAAATTGTCTCAGAAAGCTCCTAAAGGTGAGGTTGAGCTGATTACCCAAGAAGAAGCACGCTATACTCATAAAGATCTGCTTGAGTTTTCAAATACATACAAGCAGAAGCCTGGGGAATATCCCTGGGAATGGTTATAGAGTTATTCATGCTACCAGCTCCCCCCACCCCTCTTCCTGAACCCTCTGGGCTGTAATTCGGATGTGTGGGATTGGAAGGGGAGGCAGGGCAGCAGTTGGATCACCTTGCTGCCATGCGCTGAGGATGTGCTCAGAAATTGACTCAGCTTGGTACCCACTGCCAAGAGAAGACGAGAGCTCTGCTCTAGAAACCCTGGTCTGCTCTGGATCTCCAGCTAGCGGCCACATTCTCTTGACTTTCTGATCTTCAGTTCCACACCGTGTGCTATCTTCTGTCCGTCAGCACAAGCGCACCTAACCTCGCCTCCATCCTTTCTTTTTTTTTTTTTCCATCCTTTCTAGTTTGATAGAAAACCGACCCTGCCAACAAAGCCCACAGGGAAGAACATATCACCCTGTGTGATCACGAGGTGTCGAAGGGATCACTGAAGACAAATGGGTGCACAAGCAAATGTGGCGAAGAAAGCTGATGGTGCCCCCGGCTATCAAAAAGTATAGCGTCTGGGGTCTTAAAGGCTTGAAGGTAATCAA